TGAAATGTTCATGAACATTTGTGATCAAAATTGTTCATGAAATATTTTTTATAGTCCTTGCGTATTTCTATTATGGTTTATTTATTTCGGCTCGTGTTCCGACGTGAATGTCTCAAGTTATGATAATAAGCAATGTCTAAATGTATTTAAAATGACCAAGCTTGAATAAAGTGGGAAAATCCGGTTGTGGAAAACACAGAATTTTTGCATTCATTTTGATATTTTATTACTTTACTGTAAGCAGATAAAACGAACTTAATCAATGGCATTTGCCGCTATTATTAATAATTATTCACTAGATCTACTATTTGAAGGTGAAATATGACTCTCAGTCATGACTTCAGAAAAAAATGGTTGGCTGTGTGTTTTAGTTAGTAAGTGGCTGTGAAAATTATTGATTCATTGTTTTGTTGTCGAAACCAACTTTTTTGATAATGATTTTTATTTTCAGAGTAATTATGCTGGATTTGGATAACATTTTACTTAAAAGCAAAGTGAAACACAAACAAAGCTCTGGTTCTACTTAATAGTTCATTAATTTTAATTATGCAAGCATTTTTCAGTTGTATATTAAGATTCATTTAATGAACCTTTTGTTACAGAAAGTTACATTATTATAAAGGATTTTAAGTGACTTTCTATGGAATACATTGTTGATCATTTTATTTTGGCATTATAATAAAGTATTTTTTCATTTTCAAGAAAGGAGTTTCAAAATTTTAGAGTGCCGTACAGTTTCCAGAAAATTACTAAGAGCTTTGGGTAGATCAAAATAAATTAACTGTTAACTGTTGATGAAGACTTTCTACCAAAAAAAAAGTAATCTACCAGTAATTTTTGAAAAGTTAATAAGTAAAAGCATAGTATGATCGATTAAAAAAATTGGTTTGAGAATATTCTGAAAACTCGAAGCTCTTTCACTAAATCAGCAAAAATAGAACTCATTGCAGTTCTGAACTTCAAAACTAGTGGACTAAGTGTGCAAAGTGTGCCACTAAATGTGTCATTGATCTTTTTTCCTCTAATGATAAATCGTGCACATGAGAGATAATGCTTTTTCAATTCTCCTTTTATGTGCTAATATTAACATGGCACATAATTTCAGCAACTTTTCATTAATAAAGTTTATGTAGCTGAGTAAATTATTAATTATAGCATTCACGATGCCTCTAAGTATTTTAAACATGGATTCGTTAATTTTGGAGTGTGAATGATGGGAACAGGTTTGCTGTACCACGAATTCATTATCCATTTTGCCACTGCTAATTTTAGCTCGTCATCGCAAAAACCAGTCTTGCATTACCTTGCTTTCCAACTCGTTGGTTAAAAGTGCGTCTCAACTAGAAATGTTTTTGTCAGGAATTGCCTCCGTTCCTCTTGTAATTAGCAATGTTTTTTGAAGCATATAAGAATATTTGCGGTTCCACTTTATCCAAGTTAGACTGTTCACAGTGCTCATCACTTTTAAAACAAAGCAGAAACGTAGAGAAGAAACCAGATATAAAATCACATTACCGAAATCATTCAAAAATCAAATAAATGATCTTTGCTTATTTATAAAGCGAATGTGAAATGATGCTGTATCATTATATAATTCATCAAAGTTTTGAAATATTTTTTGATTCAACCAAATTTAATGGGAAATTATAATGAAATGAACTTCAGAATTCTCGTACTGTTGTTTGTTTGCAATTGAAAATTACGAAATATAAGTTTTTTTCTCACAAAATTAGTTCTTTGCAAAAAAAATCATCTTGCAGCTGAAACTAATAGTATGTGATATAACTTGCGTAACCAAAGGCTTTGTGATTTAAAATGAAAAGGTGATTTCAATGTTTAAGTCGAGATCCCTATTTTAACATCAATAATAATACCGGCAATAATGAAAGCAACGTGGCGAGAAGCATATTGCATGATTTTTTTGCTAAAATTCTGATATTCAGATATTTTCAATACTTTTGCTGAATCCTAGTCTTGCAATGTTGATTCAGTGAATGAATTCTTCTGAGAATAATTTAATAATCACTAACATTATGCTTATTAAAATTACGATACTTCTAAGTAACAGTTGCAAATACATTAGTATAACAAAGATCATTTTACTGTACCCGTTTCAATGTAATAATTTCATCACATTATATAAGTCAATTAAAACCATTCAGGCGTAAGCATTCATCCAAATCGTGGCTTAATATATGAATCCATTTCAGCGATTACATGATCAAAGTCACTGCTTAGAAATTTATTACTGCAAGTAATCGTCATTTCTTATCGTGCTGTTATTATTATCACTGTAGTAATTACTATTATTTTGTTATTATTACTTCTTGCACATAATTTTGTTAAGTTATAGATTTAAAAGTCAGTTTCATGAATATAAATATGTATTTCTGAAATTAAGGAAACTTAAACACTCTGTACCTGTGTGGCTTCCTGAACGCTGTTCTCCATTCTTGCAACATCTTTCTGTAAATTAAATCAATTTTTCCACCCTTTCGAATCCGATACCGACTCCTAGAACACTTCATTATCCAAATTAACTCACGTACACATAATTTCATTTCACTAAAAATTATTATCTTTTGTGTAGCATTTTCAAATAAATTCAAGCTACTTGCAAACTATTTTATTTGATGTAACCACCTCAAATGTGTAATAACTGAGAGCCAAAAAAACCATTTTTTATTTTTTCAGCTAATTATTTACTTTTTTGATTGAGTTATTCATTAATCCATAGTATTATTTTTTCTATAGCAATGACATATATTTAAATACGGATGAAATCTGTTTTATGTAATTTCGTTTCTTCATACTTGACAAAAATATCCACTATTTTTTACCATAAACCCTTGTATAAATTTGGTTACTTTTCAGATTATTCTATAAAATGTTTTTAAAACCAATAACTTACTTTTTAAGCGGTCTGCTGGATACAAGGAGAAATAAAAAACACAAAAATATCAATTCACAACGCATACTGTAAAGAAATATGTTGTTTTGATCGAAATGAATTCTTTTTATATAAATATTCCTGTAAAAATTTTTTGAATTCATATCTTTATTTCTATTTTGTTTCTAATATAATATTTAAATTCGAGCAATTCAAAGACAATCTAATTAATATATTTGTTCACACATTTGCTCACTTTTTTAGCAAACAGCTATTCTAATTATTTTACTGATGGCATTATTTAAATCAAAATTAGCACTTCTTAATTTATTTTCGACTCATGAACCCACCTTAACTATTCAAAGAAATTATTGCATAAATAATAAACTCAGTCTGTTCAACCAGTAACCCAAGTTACTGGTTGAACAGGCTGAGTTTCATCTCGTAATTACAACATATCTTGAGTCTCAATAACAAGTTCATGCAGTGAATGCATGAATAGTGATTAATTTGGTTCTCATCATATCAAATTTATTATATTTGGAGATAAACAAGTTACAAAGCTCATCAGTTTTGAAATAAATTCAGCAAACTATAATTTATTTTATACTGAAATAACAATAAAAGATCTAATACCACTATTATGGGAGTTATATTGTCCATTTATATCATATGATTTTGACCGTTAAAGAATTCACTTAAAAATGCACCTTTTAAATTAAAATTTTGTTCACTTCTAATGAGTTGTCTGAACTTCTATGAAAATTGGAAAAATAAAGTGATGAAAATGATTAGAGGAATGATAATCTATTAACAAAATAAATGATAAGATGTTTGTGTACTTCTTTCGTTAGATGGAAAATTTTGTAATAGTGAATAATGACAGCGATAAAATTTTCGTTGCTTCTGTAAATAGGCAATTCTTGCATACAACTGTCTTTTGAGTCAATTACTGAATTACAAGGATGGAAATAATCAAAAAATAATTAAATTCCTCAATTTGCTTACTGATATCCGTAGAAATAATGAAACCTAATTTTTCATACGAAGACGAAATTTGAAACTTTTTCTCGATTATCTGCCTCAGATTTCTTCTCAGTAACCA